CCCTCAAGGGGAACCCTCCACTGGAAAGGGGCAATTGGCACCGTAGGGTCCTCCATCCTGGAGTTGGGTTTCTCGCCTCCCACAGAGACAGGCCTTGAGGACCATCTGGTAAAACAGATTGGACTGGCCAATTCACCCTCTCCTGAGTCAACTCTGGTGGTTGCAATGTGCTCCTCAGCCCCCGTATCCACAGGAAACCCATGACGCTCATCTGTCAATCTGCTCAAAAAAGGGAGGAAGCGACCACAGAGGAGGCCTTCCAGCTCCAGGGCCTCTGTGCCATACTCACACTGGGGAATACGAATCGGGATCTATGTTCATAGTGGGGACAAAGCCCACTTCTCCTGAGCTGGTTGACTTCCCAAGAAACCACGGGAGCCCAGGAATGATAAAGCCGATGACCTCCAGGTTTTCTCCCCGGCAGAAACTCAGTTCATCCTCCTCTTCTCTGTCATAGCCCTTCAAGACCTTACATTTTCCTCGGCCTGTGGGAAAACAGTGCACGTCAACTACATATAAAGCACTACAGCCAAGCCCTGCTGCATGCCCAGGTAACGTGGAATGAAGGGTCGCGGGCTCTGCGATTGCACAGCTGGAAGCACCCCTTTCAGTGAAGATGGAAATGGGCCGAAATGGCACGGTTCTTATGACTCACTTGAAATTAGTTTCATCATATGATTTTACAGGTAAAAAAGCTGCAGCTTAGTCAGGGCATGTGAATTGCTCATGGTGGGTTTTTAATTGTGGATCCAGAATTTGAAGTCAGAAGGGCCAGACTCCAAAACCTATATTACAAATCACAGAGCCCCACTGGCTCAGAAAACTAAATATCTCATTGATAGCTTCAGCGGTTTAATTCTTTATTTTATTTTATTGGGGGCTCGTTCAATTCTTGTCACAATCCATACAGACATGCATTGTGCCAAGCACATATGTACATTCGCTGCCCTCATCATTCTCACGTTTGCCTTCTACTCGAGCCCCTGAGATCAGCTGCCCATTTCCCCCTTCCTCCCCACCCCACCTCCTTCATGAACTGTCCATAAATCACAAATCATTATTGTTTTGTTATAAGTTACACTGTCTGACGTGTCCCCCCACCCTCTTCACTGCTGTCCATCCCCCAGGGAGGAGGGCATACGTAGATTCTTGTAATCGGTTCCCCCTTTCTACTCCACATTCCCACCACCCTCCAGGCCTCGCCCCTCTCACCCCTAGTCCTGAAGGAGTCATCTGTCCTGGATTCCCTGTGTTTCCAGTTGCTATCTGTACCAATGTACATTCTCTGGTCTAGCCAGATTTGTAAGGCAGAATTAGGATCATGATAGTGAGAGGGAGGAAGCATTCAAGAACTAGAGGAAAGTTATATGTTTCATCATTGCTACCATG